TCTTCGATGGATTTTCTAAATTTCCATCATCGTGTTGCTAAATGCGATTATGGATAGCACTAAACGTAACAAATCAGAAGAAGCCAGGTCTTCTTCAGCTATCCTCACTAACTTCGGAGAAGGTGGGAAAAAAGAACCAAATGTGGTTAGTATCACAGAAAACGTCTTACAAGATATGCCAAGTGTGATACTAGTGATCATGAGATTTTATTTTTATTTTATATCATACAAAAATAAATAAAAATCTTCTTTGAACAACGTCTATGTTTTGCTTGCTTATAGACCTACTGTACCCTATACGGTACGGGCTCCCCACGGCCCCCTATTTATGGATTATTTTTTTAAATATTTTTTTCATGATTTTTAGGCTTCCCTTTGTAAGTTTTTGCTGAAAAAACGATTTTTATTTACAAAAATAATTATCGGTCTAAATGGGTTAATTTTTGCTACTAATAGTTAAATATTAACAAAATGTAAACTAATAGTTAAAAAATGTACTAAAAGCCAAGCTAATCATTGTTCGAAAAACATTTTTTTCTGTTAAATTTTCGAACAATGGTTAGCTTGAATTTTAGTGCATTTTTTAACATAAAAAAATTATTCAATTAACAATTTAAGATACAGGTAGATCAGGACAGTTCGTTATGGAAATCCTTGGGTTAGATTTTTGTCCAGCAGTGGAAATTACGAACAAAAGAAGATGCTAACGCACGTTTACACGTCATAACGAGGCTAAGTCAATTTCACGTGACTAACACATCACAAAATGATGACCAGCGGGAGAAGTGCATCGCGACGCGGTGTGAATGCGCCATTATCGATGTACCCGTTTCCTCCAATATAGTTGAAATTCAGCGGGAGTCGCGCCGATCACGCGAGCAGCGATTGGAGGCTGTCACGCGCCACAACAAGTCTGCTTCATAGAATATTGCGGATGGTTTTAAAGATAAAGCTTTAAGACAGGATTTTAAAAGATATGAGTTTTGTGTTAACTAGCACACAGACTTACGTTGCACTAATTAGTTATTTGCCAAACCATTACGGAATTACTAGAATCAGCGAAGAAAAAAAAACAGACACTGAAACCTCTAACTCTAACCAGTCATTTAAACGATTAGAACATTTAATCTCAACAGATAAATAACCGTATCTACTCGTATTTTATCAATAGCCACGTGCAGGCCCGGCCACTAAGGCCCCGTTTTTTGATTCGTAGTTAAAATAACCAATGGTCAAATTTGACAGATGTCAAATGACAAGTAGTTAAATATCAGAAAAAAATGTTTTTCGAACAATGGTTAGCTTGCTTTTAGTACATTTTTTAACTATTAGTTAACATTTTGTTAATATTTAACCATTAGTAGCAAAATTTAACAATTAGTTATTTTAACTAAGAATCAAAAAACTGGGCCTAAAGCGGTTTTCTGAATGTTTCCGAGGCCGGCGCACGGTGACACATTGCAGCTATTGCGAGTGTTGCAGCGTTGCGAACGATCGAGTAGCCGCGCGTGCCCGGAATTGGCGGGCTGGGTATTTGTTACCTATAGGGTAGCTATACTTTTGACACTATCAGTCATTTAAACGATTAGAACATTTAATCTCAACAGATAAATAACCGTATCTATTTTATCAATAGCCACGTGCAGGCCCGGCCACTAAAGCGGTGTTCCGAATGCTTCTGAGGCCGGTGCACGGTGACACATTGCAGCTATTGCGAGTGTTGCAGCGTTGCGAACGATCGCGTAGCCGCGCGTGCCCGGAATTGTCGGGCGCGGTATTTGTTACCTCTAAATACGGTGGCAATACTTTTGGCACTATCAGTAATTTAAACGATTAGAACATTTTAATCTCAACAGATAAATAACCGTATCTATTTTATCAATAGCCACGTGCAGGCCCGGCCACTAATGCGGTGTTCCGAATGTTTCCGAGGCCGGTGCACGGTGACACATTGCAGCTATTGCGAGTGTTGCAGCGTTGCGAGCGATCGCGTAGCCGCGCGTGCCCGGAATTGGCGGGTTGGATATTTGTTACCTCTAAATAGGGTGGCAATACTTTTGGCACTATCAGTAATTTAAACGATTAGAATATTTAATCTCAACAGATAAATAACAGTATCTATTTTGTTCCTTGCCACACTGGCGGATTACAAGCGGTTTGCAAGCGGAGTGGGCGGCGCGCCGCTTCGCTTAAACCGCTAGTGTGGCAAGGCCCTTAGAGTGGATTCGACAAAACAAAAGTAAATATTAATCTCAGAATAAACTTGTCATTTTGACATATTTCCCATACTGAAACTGTCAATGTGCCAGTTATACCAGGAGTTATACTTTAGGTAGGTATTAACCGAAACAAATTCAACTAAAGTTCTCTTTTATCAGAAAAGCTCCTACCATTGTTTTCAGTTCTATAATTTCTATCCTTCATAGGTAGTTGGACTTGATAATTTGATTATATTGATAAGTCCCTTGAAGCCATGATAAGGTATAATCCGTCTACCGCCAAAGCCTAAGCAGAATAATATAGAAATAAACCGGTATTGAGCCAGGAAAAAGATTTATGTAAGTTAGGATTTTACTAAGTTACAAACGAACGAAGTAAGTTACATAGATTTCCCAATATTGTTCGTCGCATAAGTTTGTCAAAAAAGTCAAAATCAAATTTAAATATCTTAATAAAAGATCTTAAATTCATGCACACCCTAGCGTATACCATTAACGACTTTGAAAGGTGTATTCAGACCGCGCGGGACCGTTCCTGTAAACCATACGCTTGTTTGTCTTCAATGCGCCATATTGTATCGGGAATATTTTAAAATGTATGTTCGAGAACATGGGGGTTTCCTGTATTATAGATTTACAGGTGTACGAGTATTTTGACAAAAATATACAAAGGTGCAGTAGATCGGGTTAATTGAAATATTTGGCTCGCGTTTATGTGAAACTGGAAAAGAAAACTTTATTTGGTAGGTAAACCGACGGACTAATTTTATTTTCGTATGGGGGTTGGTTTGCACGCTAGTTTAAAAACTTTGGGGTCCTATTTAGTTGTAACAGAAGCGAATTGGCAATAACATACATACACTTGGATACCTTTTTAGAATCACAATTTACCAAGGAAGTTTTCAAGATAATGGACACGATGGGCTTCCTACATTTTTTTACACGATGGCTGATCAAAAGTGTAAAATAATGAATTATTTTTTCCTTCTATTCTGCAATTTCTTTTATTTTTCATACTTTTGAACTAGTTATATTTGAATTTTAAACTTTTCCTTTGACAGCCCAACTATTCCTTGTGATTTAAAAAGATCTTCATTTGAAAAAAGTTGGCAATGAAAAAAGTAATCGTAGGTGGCAATATTCTAAAAATGCACAAACTTAAAATTCTTGGAAACAGTGATATTTTTATTAGGGTCAAAATTTTATATTAGGGAGACCATGGCGAGGCCTATCAATGGTTATAGGATTATCTATTGTTTTTGGGACACCCAGTATGTATAGTTTGATGTGCTGTTGTATGTTAATTAAAGCTATTAGAATCATCAGATTTCTTAATTTCTTTCAGCTCTTTGAACTGCCAGCCAGATTGAGTCGTTGTTTACTAGAATCTGAATATTTTTGACAGGTAGGTAGGTACGCTAAAATAGAGAAAATACTGCACGCAGTGAAGCGTAACTTCAAAAGAATGGGAACAACGTCAGTATTGCCTTGAATTGAGGCTGATATTTTATGTAAATATTAGATGCTCAGGGATCCTCATTGTTATGAGTAAAAACGTTTTTAGATTGATATTTGTGGAGATTTGATAGACTGTTAAAATCAGTCAGGATGATTATGATTATTATGTAGGTGCCTCAACATAAGTGCCACTTGTGGTTTAAATTGAATAAAATATTTTTGATTTGCTTTGATTTGATTTGATAAACAGAAATCTGCTTAGTATATCGGCTATCATAAACCTTTTGTGACTAGATGACACTGTATAGTTTATCAATAACAAGCTTATTTACGAGTATTTTTATGATGAACGCAAAACTATTAAAATTATCATACGGAACACAAACAATTAAAGATCCCGTTCACCCTTGACAGATCTTCCATGTCAAGCAATGAAACGACAATCTGAGCTGACGCCGTCTGCGCAAAGATCTGCTTATTTTGCTCGAAATACGCGGTACTTACCTACATAGGCAGAAATGTTATAAAAATAATGTATAAATATTATTTTTCCAGAAATACAATTTTCTCGTAATCCGTGCCTACTCTTTTCGTTCATTTTATGTGGGATTGTATCAAAAATATACAAGAAAAATTATTATCATTGGTTTTGTTAAAGTTACCTATTTATTATAAGTATGTAGCTATTACATTGCTATGTTCTTGTAGAAATCTTTTAAATGTAAGATAGACTTGGAATTTAAGATAAGATAAGATAAGATAATACTTTATTGCCTCGTTTTTACATGCTTTACAAACATAGAAATATAAACAAAAAATGTCTTAATTTAAAAATGTCTTTGCAACCTACTTGCTCAAGTGTCTTATGGGAATCCACTATGGAGACCTGTTTGTATAATCTAGCAATAATTTTCTAAATTCCTCGAAAGATATCGCCTCAGAATAAACTAAGTAAAGATTTCAAAGTATTGCTTAAGTTCTAAAATATTTCATAACACTTTTCTCTTCCAAATTGGTCATTTTACCGAATTCACACCTGCCTACGTAATACTTTCCCATACAACATCCTATAACTTTCAAACTATTGCCAAGTTCATAACCCAGTTAGCGTGCTTGTGCCTAAATAACGTGCAAACACTCGAAAGCATCTAACTTTTCTTCATTTAGCACTTGATTTAGTACCATTATTACATACCGAGCTCTTAGAGCTAACACCATATTTCATTTTGCCATTGTTCATGAAACAACATACAAGAAACATTTGTAAAATATTTTATAAATACTGCCTTTGATTCTTAAGCCTAGAGTTTAAAGAGTATAGAAATGAGTAAAAATACAGTGTTTTTGATTTTACTGGTGTGTGGTGTGGCGTATTGTGAAAGTTATATTGGACAGAACGATTTAGAAGCAAGAGGGAAGAAGAAAAAGAAGATCGCTTTGTTTGGTAAGTCTTGTGGAGTTATTTGTTGTCACTCACATAGTAACTACTACCTAAATCAAATAAAGAGCCTTCCTAGTCCGAGTTCTTTCAAGTGCAAGGTGAATTTGTCGAGTCTTGGAGGTTTTGGTTTCGATTTCGTGTGATATAAGTGTGTATTTTTTACCCAGTTTGATTAAAATAACGGGTATTTAAATCAATATTAGTATTACCTGTAAAGGAACAAGATTCCGTGCTGTATGCTCTAAAAAGTTATTGTACAAATAAATGTCTATGAGGCTCCTAAAGTCTGACATCAGGGCTGTGACCCGATTGTTACAATCCATACGCAACATATAAAATGCTATATGGTATTAATTCTGCCTTTTGTGTCTATTAAATTTGCATTTATGTTTGATAAAATTTTGCGTATTCTAAAATGAAAATGATTAAAAAATAAAAATATTGTCAAAGTTCGTAGTGGCTAATATTACCCGCAACCAATTAAAGATAATATTCAAAACACTTACCGACATCTCTCCTTGCAGTGTACATCGCCGATTTGGTGCTGAAGAAGTTCTTCATCCTGAAGCTGGTATACGCGTTCATCTTCTGGGTCGTTCTGCACAAGGCCGGGTACTTCTTGGCCTGGTTCGCCAGCTACCTGAAGGAGAAGAAGCACCATGAGCACCATGACCACCATGAATATCACGGCCATGACCACCATTACGATTATCAGCCGGCTTATGGCGCGTACGGGCCTTATAGGAGGAAAAACCATTGACGCATTGAAAATAAAAAAAAATATTGACCTAGGTGGGTATCGAACCCACGAACTTTTACTTGCCGAGTGACTGTAAAATGATAAAATATTTATTTGTATTGTGAATTTACTGTGTGGAGGCGTACTGAAATTACGTATTTTAATTTTCACAATGGATTGTATACTATATAATAGCAGTTTATTTAATTTATTTTCATGTAGGTGCATCTAAGATTAAGTTAAATTAATTCATTTAATAAGGTATTTATTTATTGTTAATAAAATGTTATTACCTAAGTAATTCATTTCGAAACACCAAATATTTCACACTATTCCAATTTTAAACTGTTTGTACGACCACAGAATAATAATAAGTTGGTACGACTAGAAATACCTACATATTGATAAAACTCCCACACTAATAACTTTGTCAGCCTGGCCCCAAAGCTGCAGAGATTAATGTTAAAATGCCTGTTCTGTACACCATAAATCAATTTTAAAAACCTATCGCAAATGTATTAGGTAGGTACCTGCACAATAACTTTGTAACTTTCACAAAACAAAATCAAACTCTATGAATTCAATGCACTATTTTCCTTACATTCTTACCTTACACAGCATTGTAAGTCCCAGGCCTGCCCAGGGCAGCTGTTTAGCAGATAACTTGCACCCGGTTGCGCTTGCGCTCGCTTATCAAAAATTTGGCAGCGCCGCATCTCGCGTTTTAAACAACAACTAAACTAGATTATACACTACACTCAGTACACACTTTCCACTTTTGCAATAAACAATACAATTATGCAACACAATTTAAATATTATAACTCAGAGGTGACTGACTGACTGACATAGTGATATATCAACGCACAGCCCAAACCACTGGACGGATCGGGCTGAAATTTGGTTATATGCAGGTAGATGCTATGACGTAGGCATCCGCTAAGAAAGGATTTTACGAAACTCCACCCTAAGGGGGTAAAACGGGATCCACGCGTACGAAGTCGCGGGCGGCCGCTAGTTAAGTATACTATAAAATTATGGGATGAATATCATGCACAATTGCTGAAAATTCACACTACACTTGGTACACACTCTCCACTACTAAAAAAAAATATTCGACAAATAACGTGCACAGTTGTCTGCGCCGCGATTACGTATGGAGACGGTTGGGTCACTAGGAGTAATTGAAAAGAAATCGGTCTACCCTCTTTTAAATTTTTGTTAATCGACGCTGGTACCGCTATACGCCAACTCACTTTTTACTCGAACTTGATCTCGAAGAATATAAAAGGGTGATTAGTGTTGTAAGTGAAATTATTTATAACGTTATTACATAGAGATATTTTAATAATATTAATTCGGGTTGTATTTCTTTTCAGTAATGAATAGATAGTTTTTGAGGTTCTCACGTAGTTTAAAAATATTAGGTATGGTTTTTGCATTATGCTCTAAAACTAAATTCATGATACATAGTGATGTTTTAAAACCTTTGTGTTTTTATTCATTGCAGCCATAGAGAAAAACAATTTTAACATTAGTGGTAGATTTCGGATATCATGTAAGTAGACTTAAAATCTAAACTAACATCAAAATTTAAAAGAGGCCGCGGCACCATTTTTGCGGTCTCCCTTTGTCGAGCTATTTACAACTTTTGCACAAAGCTTTAACGTCTGAACAATTTTTAACGATAGTTGAGTAGTTTTCTCGCGAAAATAAAGGTTTTCGTGCCAAATTAAAGTTCAAACATAATCCGCTTTTAACAAATTTATTTAAACCGTCAGGCTTGCAGGCGATAAGCCGATCGCATTGTTCAAACCATTAATGACTAATAAATAACCAACGAACTTTTAACGTCAACGTAATTTGTGTATTTATGCCGGCGGCAGTGCAGCGGAGCGTGATAAATAATAATTATTGTGAATCATATGACAGACTTTGCGGTGGATGCACTATCACAGAATGCACTGTGCAAATCTATGGTTAATAGATATAAGTACCTACCTTTTTACTACGAAGTACGAGTACAATAAAAACATTATTTTCTGTATGAAACTGGGATTCTTTTCCACGGAGACATCCCGTTTTTTGCAGGATCCCGTTTAGTAGTATGCACTTTTATCAAAATTTATAAAAGTGAAAGGTCATTGATTGACTGACTGACTCACTCATCACGAAATCTCAGAAAGTACAAGAGCTAGGAGTCTCAAATTTTTCATGGGGTTTCCTTTTAAAACGTAGGTGCTCACTAAGATGTGATTTTGTGAAATTCAACCTTTAAGGGGGTAAAACGGGATCCACGCGGACGAAGTCGCGGGCGGCCGCTAGTTATTAATTCATTCACACGAACATCCCGTTTGCAGTGTCCCGCAAAAAATCGATTCGTTCGAATTTGGAATTCGAAATTCAAACACACACTTGTGTGTTCACAGGACAGGACAGTCCAGTTTCGCGGGATTACTGCATTACTGTATCGCACAGTCCTAAGTTGAGAACAGACAAAATTGTGTGATCATTTTGGATATCAGAATGTAGCAATAAGAGCTAAACTGTATACAATTATGCATCTTTACGCTGCTGGCACGTTTCACAATCTATAGCATAAATACTATAATGCCATATAGCTATTTTTATCTCTCGTTATCGCTAAGCCTTTACTCGCACATGAAAAGGAGGTTTAACTCGGGAGTTGATACGTAAATAAGCTTTAACAAAGACGCGTGTTCATTGTGAAGCTTTATCTATCTACCTAGTACACGGTATGAATGAGAGCTTTTAATCCTTACTACCTATTCTGTATGTTAGTTTTGGATATTAAATCTATATATATAAAAGAAAGTCGTGTTAGTTACTTCGCTTATAACTCAAGAACGGCTGAACCGATTTAGCTGAAAATTGTCAGGGAGGTAGTTTAGAGCCAGGAGAAGGACATAGGATACTTTTTATCCCGTTCGAAATTAAAAAAAAAGTCTGCTTATTTATTGCCATTAAGGCGGAACAAAGTTCGCCGGGTCAGCTAGTTATTAAATAAAAGTTATAATTAATAAAAAAAGTTATAAATAGCAACGAGTGAAAATGTTGAACAATTAGGCTGAGTTGCACTACCTACCTTATTTTAACCATATAACCGTTGTTTTTTGTATGGACAGATTTTTGACGTTTGTTAAAAGTTGAAGTAAGATGGTGGTAAGTAAAATTTGACGTTTAAATTGAGTGCCTAAGAGTAGGCGCACACCGTTGATTTTTAGTTGGCCGATAGTTGTGCCCGATTTTAATTTGTATGAAGAATCGGCCTAATCGAATCGGCGTAGTGTGCGCACTCCCATACATGCCCATACTGATCAACTGTCCAACTAAACTATCGGCCGACGAAAAATCAAAGGTGTGCGCCTACTCTTAAAAACCGTTAGTAAGTTCCAGCAATCTCCAAACCATTTCTCGGAACTTGCACATCACTAGGCACCACTGCGCGTCGATCTTTTATTTGTATCGATATAAATCAATCGTTTAATCGGATTACAGGACAATCCATTAACAGCGTCAAACTACCGACAAGTAATCCGGTTTAAATTTCAAATTGGCGTGAAGTGAATCGAATTATCAGCACTTCAAGCCCAGTAATTAAATTAGCGAGAAGTTCATTGATGTATGTGAATTTACGATTCGATACTTTGTTACAAAAATTGGTGACTACCCTAAAATTTTTGTAAAATAGGGAGGCGTATTTTTGTCTTTGGCAGTTAAACAAGCTCATTCACTTACTTAATTACCTTCTAGAGAAGAGTAAACGCATAAGGCAAGGAGGACAGACGATCTTATAAAGGTTGCAGAAATGCGCTGGATGCAGGTTGCTGACATGTCAATCTGGATTGCCATCAGTCTGAAACTGGATATCATTGGCGGAGATGGACATTCTGTCACTAAAATGATGATGATCATAATGACGAATTTAGTGTAATTGCTAGTTTTGACTTACTTGACTTATGGTCCTATGTCCCCTAGATGGGGCAGAGGGCGTCCACAACAGTCCTCCATCTCGTTCGGTCTTGAGCTTCTCGCTTGATCTCGCTCCAGGTCTTGCCGATCTTCTTCGCCTCGTCCGCTACAGTGCGCCGCCAAGTTTGCCTGGGTCGACCACGTTTGCGTTTTCCTTGGGGATTCCAATCCAGAGCCTGCTTAGGGATGTGATCGGGGTCCCTTCGGAGAGTGTGGCCAATCCAGTTCCACTTGCGGCGCTTGATCTGCTGGTCGATCGGGATTTCGTGGCAGCGTTCCAATAGCTCGACGTTGGAGATTTTCTCGGGCCAGTATATGCCGAGAATTCGGCGAAGGCAGCGGTTGATGAAGACCTGCAGCTGGTGCGAGATAACCTTTGTGACCTTCCACGTTTCACACCCATAGAGCAGAACGGATTTAACGTTGGACCCGAATATTTTGATCTTGACCCTTCGGGTCAATTTCCGTGACTGCCATATGGGGCGAAGTTGTGCGAAGGTAGCTCTGGCCTTGGCAATGCGCGAAGTGATGTCCTCTTCGGTACCTCCAGTTTCTGACACGACGCTCCCGAGGTAGGTGAAATTGTGGACTCGTGCCACATCCTCTGCACCAATCCGTAATGGCGTGCAATTTCTCACTCCAGATCGCATCTCTTGGGTCTTCCGGCAGTTAATTTTGAGCCCTGTGATACCCGCTTCTCGATGTAGGTCATTAAGTTTGGATTGCATATCGTGATGCGTGTGGCTCAGCAAACAGAGGTCATCGGCATAATCTAAGTCTTCTAAGACTCCGATTATACCCCACTCTATTCCACGCCGTTGGTCTTGATATGCGCGATTCATGACTCCATCCAAGACAACCAGAAAGAGAAGGGGCGAAAGCAGGCAGCCTTGCCGGACGCCCGCATGCACCTCGATGTCTTCGGAGATGAGGCCGTCGTGAGTCACCGTACAAGAATATTTCCTGTAGATGGCCTTCAGTAGGTCGATGATTTTCGGCGGGACACCAATGTCAGCGAGTCGCGACCAT